TTTATGATTCATGGGCTAAAGTTTGTATCCTTCACTTTGAATCCTTTCTTTAGATACAAAGCCACACCCAACTGGGCATTCAGGGTTAACTTTCTAGAACTGCAGAGAAAATAAAAATATAAAAATTACTTGTTACATAGTAACATCTAATAACTTTCATAATAGTTGTTACTGACATAAGTAGCTTACACTCCTGCAAATATACTGCTTACAGTATGACTACAGAACAGAAACATACTTAAACACATTTCTATTTGGAAGTTCACAGTTGAAAATATTATTTTAATTCGGAATGCTGATCAAAGTTCAAAGAACCATACATGCCAAACGCCCAAGAGTGTTTTTAGTTTTGCACTGTCATCTGATCCCCCAAAACAAACAAAATTCAAGGGCCCCTCCAGAGAAGTACAACTAGAAGAATGAAGAGATGTAAAAATTTGCTATCTCCCTGTATGTCAGTGGAAGTGTTTCGCGGCTTTCTTTGAATTCCAGCTCTTAGTACACATACTTAAAGTTCCACTGAAATCAATGAAACAGTCCAATTTTGAAAGTTTTTCACATGGTAACTCATCTTTCTCTACAACTTGCTATATTTATCCATAAGTACAGAAGTCATGCATAATAGAAAACTAATTTGGTAAATCAGCTTGTTATATCCAGAGCATATTATAATTCAGCAGAATATCTTTTAAAATTGCTTCACTTCTGACCTGGCTAATATTTGTATGAAGCTACTGCAAATCTCAAGACATTATCACTAAAAGGCATCAGCTGATACTAAATTGGCTAGACTGCAGCAGCATCAGGCACTTAAGAGGTTTCTTATCATTCATCTATAGTACTAAAATAGACTGATCAGTTCCTTCCTACAGCTTCAAGACCAGAGGGGGAAAGGTCTCAAGTATGACATTATCTTGTAATCTGGACTTTATTTTTTAACAACAGTGATGATGATGGTGTATCACAAGCTAACAACCTGCAGCATAAGGAATGCAAATCCTAAACAGAATACAAAGCAATACTTTTATAGTTCATAGTGTATTTTGGGCTTCACCAAAATGTATTAAATTTAACATTTAAAACTGCTTTATATAAACTAATGATATTAACTAGGATAGTGGCAGATTTGAAAAGGCAAAGAAATTAGCATTTATTCTTTGGATGAATAGAAATGGAGTGGAAGCTAAGCATTAAGTCTGTAGTGTTCTCACAGAGACTTTCTTAGCAATTCTTTCCATCTGAAAGCCGCCTTTGCTGAAGGAAAAGGCTGCCCCACCCCTGACCTCCTCCTCCTCCAGCTTGTTTTGGAAAGGAGCCAGATGACAGTATTGGGAAAAGTGCATATTTATCTCAACAAGACCAGCTGCAGAGAACAACTAAATGTAATTTTAGGTATTATTCATTCTTCCTTACCAATGGCCTTGTTTTTTTATTCCATTAAGATGCCGAGTTCCAAATTATATCTACACTGATGCTTTAGCAACTATATTTCTACAGCTTACTATCAAGGCAACAATTACCCTTGTAAATAAAAGTGAATTCTCCATCGATGGAAATTTGTTTGCATCTTTAACTAGGACAAGGAAAAATATATAAGCGCGCTTTGCTACAGTGAGCATTCCTTTTTGCCCTTTTTTCATACCTGGCTAAAATATTGAATATCAGGCACACATCCAAACACATCACACCCAAAAACCTGTTGTTAGATATATGATACTCCAAAGCTTGCCATGTGATCCTTGAATTTATAATACACTGAATACTGATGAAATATTTAAAACAGTAAAGAAAAATTGAAATATTTAATTAATATCCTAGTATCTGTCTGCCCAGCAGGATCAATCATTGTTGCTAAATGGGTACATTAGTTCCAACTTCAGAAAAAAAAATTAAAAACTACTAGTTTCTTACAATCAGGGAAAATAATTAGTGGTTTTTATTGTGTGAAAGGATCTCTTTCACACAATAAAAAATACTGAAGATTTACAAGAAATGGAATTTCAAAATATAGGATATTTCTCTTATTACTACACATTTAAAAAACATAGTGTGAGGCTCAAAGCAGAACTTCTCATCAAAAGCTATATCCATAGGTAAGTGCATTATCCATCTTTCATCTCCTTACCTATTCAAGAATTGTGATGAATTTCACAAAGGCATGATGGACAATCCAAACACAAAAGTGATACAGTATAATGCTTTAGAACTTACGATTTAAGGGTACAAATACCCTTCATGAGTTTGTGTCTGCTTAGATGATAAAGAGGCATTGACATAGTATTTTAAAATATCAATACTGGACGTCCAACAGTCATATTGTGAGGAAGAACAAACATACGTTTAGGGTATTATAATAAATTTTTAAAGTGTTTTACAGACTGCTTGATGAAACAAGAACCCAACTGAATCAAACCACAGGCCTATTTAGTCCAATATTTATTTCCATAATGGCCAACTAAATGCCTATGGAAACCCCACAAACAAGAAGGGAAGGCAACATCTTCCTCTGCTGCTGTTTCCCAGCAACTGATATTCTAAAGCATGCTATCTCTGATCCTGAAGGTAGCATATAGCCTCATTTACTAGTAGCAGTCTACTTCTGCATGAGTATATATCATCCCTTTTAAAATTATCAAAGTTGATGGCTATAGCTGTATGTTGTCATACCAAATTCCAGAATTTATATGCTATGTGGAGAAGCATTTCCACCACTGAATCTTCCACCGCTCAGCATCATTTGATAACCTTTGATTCTTGTATTATGAAAGAGAAAAACTTAGCCATCAATTTCTTTTTATGCCATGTACAGTTTATATACCTCTATTTTGCTCTCAGTTACTCTGCTTTTCTCAAAAAGCACTAAATGATAATTTACATATGAGAACATATAGAACTGTCTAATAATTATGGTTGCCATTTTCTGCACCGTTTTCAGTTCTATAATATGCTTTTTAGGATACAGTTATTAGATGTATATACAGCATTTCAAGTATGGTCACACTATACATTTGTATAAGAGCATTACAGTGCAGTATTATTTGCGACTCCTTTGTAATGATCTCCAGCATGGAACTCACATTTTTTTCACAGCTGCTGCGCACTGCATTGACATGTTCATTGAGCTATATCTATTATAAACCCACTATTCCTTTGCTCTGGTCAGTCACTCTCAGGTTGACTATTCTCCTTCAGAAAATATGAAAATAAATCAATAATGGAAAACAGAACGCACTTCTGTCTTCTATATTGCACTAAAAGGGCTACATTTGAACCCTATCATCCATTAAGTCCATCTAATCCTTGATCAGTGGAAACATATTCTCATTAAAATTAAGAATCCAACAAAATTATTGCAAAATTAGAAATCTTATATCTTGTTCATAATCTATTTAACATATCAGTGAAAAATGGACAGCATTGTATCATGTTGTTACAAATATGCTAAAAAAATAAACAAAAATGTATCAATAACTATAACTACCTAGGAATTACATCAGAAAACACGATTTTTAAAAAAGTAATAGCCTCCTTTTTCTCAAAAGTTATCTATGAGAAATATTTTGTTAAGGGTTACTAAAATGCTTGCACAGAAAAGAAAATTTAGTCAGATAACAGAAAAAATAGGAATAAAACATGTTTGTATCTATGAAAGATATGTTAAATATTTCTGAGGCATTATTTTAGATCAAAGTTGAGAATATAGAGTTGAAACAGAACCTAAAGGAAAGGGACCCTCGACTCTGATGATAATCAGAAATTCCTGTAACAAGTTATATTAAGTCCTGAGTTTATCCTGTGAAAAACTGTTCAATTATTTCCTTCTCTAATTTCTGATAGAAATGATATAATTATAGTATATGGACAAAACTAACTTATACAAAACAGAAAAGAAAGCTCAAATATGCAGAAATCATAATAAAACACATTATAGGCTTTTAAAAGCATTTCTGCAATTATTAAATATAGATGCTTTATTTCCTATGCAGATTTTTTTCCACAACCTAGGTTTCTGTGCTATGAATCTACTGACATGAAAACATTTGTCTAGAGTACTACAGAGATGTTATTTTGTTTGCTGCTCCACATGCAGACTTTTAAGTAATCAAATCATACTTTAGCATCTATAAAATGACAAAAATACTTAGTAATTTTAAATCAGTCATAATCACCATTTTAATATTCTTTTAAAAGCATCATAATACCTTTCTATGTATGAATTACATGTCTAGAGAGCTTAGACTCTGACTTTAAAAAACTTAGGATTTCAGCAAAGTTCCATAGGTAAAATTACACACAAACTGTAACTATACCACTGTATTTATTTCAATAATTCACTGTTTGTTACATTTAATAAAAACATATTATGAAAAGGGAAGAAATCTAGCTTTATTAAGAATACTCCAGCAAAGAAATGGAAACATCAGAAAAACTACACTGGGGAAAAAAGACTGCAGTCCTATGCATTTACCAATTGGTAAGTCCTACTAAACACATTGGAATTTAATTCAAATAAGTCTATACAGAATTGTCCTGTCCATTTTTTAAATGCCCAACTGTAAATAATCATAGATGAAGTTCAAGTTTTGACCACTTGGATACATTCAATCAGCTTCTCCGTGGTAGCAACACTTAAACTGAAATTGCCAAGACTAATTATCACTATTTTCCAAACAGCACATCACATGATAGTAAGAGTTACTAACAACACCATGTAAACTCTAATAATTCAGAAGAAATCATTTCTCATTATTTCCTATTTCTTCCATACTTTTTCAAAAATGAGGCATTTGGACTTTTTAATAGTGGCAAGGAAAATGAGAAGTACTAAAGTTTTTTAAGTACCTGAAGCTGTCAATTGGGGATATTTTAGCTTGTGAATACATTAGCTCGATAGGGGAAAGTACTCTGTTAATTTTTCATTTTAATAATTACATAATGATTAAAAAAACAGATTACAGTTAGATACTCCTGATCAAGACCTACCGCATAGGGAACTGCAGGCACTGAACTTCATAAGAGGTCTTTTCCTTTTGTAACTTTTTCTGCTTCCATATTAAGAATGTGGTTGGTCCTTCTCTTACCTTGCTTCGTTTCCTTCTGGGGCTCTTTGGCAGCTTTTGACTCAGTCTCCTTTAAAACGAACAAGTGAATATTTTGTCTGGCGTCTGGGAGTTTCACTATCGTGCTCCTTTAATGCTTCTTCTTACAAAAAATACCCGTATTTTTCACGTTGAATATGAAAAAAATCTCTCACGGCCAATAAAGTCAGGTTTTTTAAATATCTATGCCCGTTCCAAATTAAAAAACAAAAACAAAAAACCACCAAAAATATCCTGCCACAAAAGAGGAGGAAGGGGGTTGGGAAAATCAGACAAGAAACCAACAGTAGAAGAGCTATATGCTCCAGTTTTATTTCCAGCCCAGAAGGTAAGTGCAGCAGAAGCAGGTCCAATTCCAAAACAAGATTTTTTTTTCTCCAATGAAGCAAAACTCACAATTATGAGTTCTCATATAGAATTCTGCACAGAGAATTGTTTTTAAAATTAAACATAGATGGTTGCAGCAAAAATATACTGTCAGGATGAGCGTGAAATCTGTATGCTTTGTAGTTGTTCAGAGTACGGCTTTTAAAAATGTGTTGGCAGATTCTCAGTTTATATGGAGGAGCATCTGAATATTTTGTTTTCAAAAGTGCAAATTAAAATGGATAATATTGAACCCATTCAGAAGTTTAAAGGAGATTAGCTCAGGAAAAACAAAAAAGAGCCAGAAGAGTCTGAGACAGAGATCCAAGTACCCAGTAGAGTCTATTTAAAAAAGAAAAGCAAGACGTAGAACACAAGCAGAAAAAAGGATCTAGCAGTTTCTTTCAGGAAGATCCAAGGGGGAGAAAAATCCAGGCAAGGATCCACAAATGCCAGGGAAATCCACCAGCAGTGCCTTTCATATGTGGATCCAAGGAAGGGAGCTCCAGCAGTCTTTCTCATGTACAAGGATCCTAAAAGGATCCAGAAAATAGGCTTCGTGGTGAGGAGGGACCCCACCACTCTTTTTCATGCGGATCCACCCAGACAAGCCAAACATAGGTGGATCCAGAGAAGGCAAAAATCCAGTCTCTTTCTCACAAAGACAGGATCCGCAGAACCCGGGGCGATCCCGCAGCTGAGTTTCTCATAAGGAGGTCCGTCAGTCGTTTGCTCTCCCCGTGGGATCCACCCAGTTAAGAGCAGAATCCACAGCAGCAGCTCTCCTGTCCCTCCCCAGCGATTGACGAGAGATTCTCTGGGGGAACCAGGGGGATTTATGGAGGCAGCGGCCGCAGGGATGGCTCCTCGGACCGAGCTTTCGTTTGTAAGGGAAAGGGGTTGGGCCGCTGGCGGGACAAGCAACGCCGCTGGGTTTAGTGATGCCGCCGACCCGGCCCTCCACTCCTCCTTGCAGTAGCAGCAGCAGCAGCAGCAGCCGCCGTCGCCTCCGCCGCCTGTGCCCTCCGCTTCAGGAGCAGAGCTGCTGCCACCGCAGCCATTTTGTTACTAACTGACAAGAGCCCCGCCAGGCAGCCAGCGCGAGACCACAACGGGGCGAGGGGGAGGGAGCAAAAGAGAAGGAGAAAGAGAGGCGAGAATCCCTCCCCCTCCCTTCCCTGACCTCAAACAGGAAGTCCCAACCACCTCTCTGATCACATGGCAAAGCCGAGCGCATAAAAGAAGGCTCCGAGACATGCAAAGAAGATAAAAAGGCGAGCCAATGGGGCGACGGGAGCAGTTAGCGAGCCCCGCCTTTCTCTCAGCCTTGTCTCGTCGCGTGAGAGCTGGCGCCGAGGCTTCTCGCTGGCTGGAAAGGTTTGCCTGCTCCGTCCATCTTGTGTGTTACCTAAATCTCCATTGAGGGAGTAGGTATCGCGTGTCGTTCCGGCCGCTCTGCACGGAGAAAAGCAAAACAAAACCCAGGCTGTGAACGAGGCGGCGCAGGCATTCGTCTTGGTAACTTTTCAAGGGAAAACGCAGCAGCCCCAGCAGGATTGTTGCGATAAGACCATTTGGAAAATAAAATAGTTTGCTGCTCTGCCTGTTTGTTTATGTAACTGTATCCTTGGCTGATGTACGCTGAAATCATCATTTTAGTAGCCTGCATCTGTTTCGCAACACAAGCGTCCAGTATAGTGGCTGAAAGGAGAACTAAAATAAAAGAACTAAGATGCAACGCCACTGCTATTTAATAATTTTATTACCCGCTTTTAAGAAAAAAAGCTTTAGCCCATTTCTTCCGAGTTTGTCATAAACAGTGGATTGTTGAGCAGTCACCTCGCATTGCCGTGGAAGAATCAGGATACCTGGCAAATTTGATTTCAACCCACTCCCATTATAGAGCTCGGTTTAGGATAATAAGCCTGTTTGCCAGGATGTCATGCACAAGGTAGGCTACACCTGTTGGTCCACTGCCTGGCCTCAGAAAAGGTGGGTGAGCCTTGGGATTCACCCAGCTGCTGAGCTGAACAGGCACCAAGCTGAGGGAGTGGCTTGATGTTTGTTTAATATACTGTCTGTAGTGAGCTGGAGAGGAGGTGAGAGAATCAATAATGGCATAATCCTCGCTTTGGTGGTCCTTACTCTCAATTAAGTTCACAGAATCGCAGCCAAAGATAGTTAACCTTTCCAACCTGAAGGGAGCACCAAATTAAACTGAGTGCCTCCAATGTAATGCCTGCAGACTGCAAAGGTTTGGGGTGAAGTCAATAGATTTAATCTTTTAAATTCCATGGCTTGGTTGGGTAGTGTCAGCCAAAGGCTGGTCAGGCTACTTTTCAGAGAAGAACCAGCAATATCACAGGGCTAAGAAAGGGAATAGTATTTTTTTACAATAAATGTTTTGGTTTCTCGCTGTCCAAAAAGTTAGCGAAAAGAGAAAGATACACTCATTTAGAGGAAAGCCTTATTCTTGGTTTTATTCAGTTTATTGAAGACAGCTATGTCTATAAATGTAGCCTGTATTCATTTTGAACAAAGTGCAGGCTTGGAAGTGCTACATCTCCAAATAAGCTGTCTTCATGGAGTGTTCTCATATTCACTCACTGTAAGTTCTCATATCGTACTAACCCCTAATGTGTGATTTTAGCTTAGCACAATGTGTAAAACCAATTGCTGGGATTTATAAACTACCTTGTATGGATTAACATTATGTGTGGACAGGGCCTAATTTTTAAAAAATGGTTAAAACAAAATCTGGCTTAGTGTATTGTGTGAACCTAGCCATATGGAGAGCCAGCTTTGGTATACATTGATAGATAACTGGAGGATGTATTTCCTAGGTGGCAAAAAAAAGACAATGTTAACTACAAGTATTGAATTCAGTGGTATGAACTACAGAATAAGCATATATAAAATCACATCGGATTTCCTTATTTAAAGACATAATCATGAAGATTTTTAAAAGTATATTCCATAGATGTATCATTTTGATTGAACTGGTCATTTGCATCCCATCATAAAGCTTTAGGCCATTCGAAATCACATAATCGCAATTCTATAAGAATAAACTCTTTCAGAAATCATAGAATTACATTTGGTCCAATACTTGCTCAGAGCACAGACACCAGACAACTTTCATTAATAGTTAATGTGCACCTTAGGAAGTGGCAACACCTTGCTGACCCTGGTTAATCTCAGAAACTAAGGAGGTTTGACTCCAATTAGTATTTGGGTGGAAGAATCGCCTGGGCATTCCAGGGCTGTTGGCTGGACTGGGAAATTGAAAAACAAAAACAAGCAATTGTAAACCACTGCCAAGAAAACTCTGGGGATGCAGTCATCAAGAGTCTCAAGCACATCTTTATCTTTTAGGTAGAAACAAATAAAAAAGCTTGATGTGTACACGCTGCAACAAACTTTGGGCCAACTGAAATATACATCTTAGACTCCTTTACAAGATGACATAATTGTCCAGGATTTTGAGAGTTCAAAGCATAACAGTATGATTTCTCAGCTCCTTACTCTTTTTCCACCCAGATGGAATATTATTGGCATGAGAGCACTATGCCTCATGGTGTCTTGCACTCAACGTTTTGGCTAAAAGCAATTGCATGCTAAAGGATTATGAAAGTTGACTCAGCATCAACAGGTATTGATCCTGATGGTAATAAAAGATTTAAAAGGTTAGCATGAGAAGAATTAGAGGTTTTTTATAATTATTGTGCTGATAAAAGATCTAGTAAATGTTTGAATGTTTAAATATCTGAAAATTAAATTAGACACAAAACCAGATCTCTTTTAGGCAGGGATACACAATGTTGCTATTACCGTTTAGCCATTTCCAACTAAAACAGAATAAAACTTTTTTTTTCATGAAGCTCAGCACTGCAACTTTTTGATTGTTTTTATGATAGTATCTCTAATTAAAACCCCACCTTATTTTCAAGTTCAAATTCATTTTTATTTAACTACAGTACAATGAACATTTATTCTGAATAAATCAATTCTTTTTAAAGTGTTCAAAAGGCAGTTGTTTTTCAACAAGCCAGTTTTTAAGCATCAGAAACTTCATGAGACATTTGACCAGATGTTTGATCACACTTGCCTGGATTCCCTATATTGCCATATTACTACTAAACATAGTAATTCCTCTAAGAAGACAGGGATCAAACTGATCCATGAGTTTTCTGTTTTGACATAATTTGTGTGTGCGCCATTTGTAATGAATAATTTTTTGTCCAGATGGCTCGTAGTTTTTATTATTTACTTACAATAACATATTCTTTCATATTTTACAGTTTCTACTGAGTTTTGATCATAGTTCTTGCAAACAACTGCTAGAATTCTTTGTTTTAAGAGACATTTGCCCTGGCATACAAGAAAAAAAATCTTAGAACTCTGTATGATGGATATAACAGATACCGGTGAAGATGGATTGGCAAATATGAAGTATTGGGCTTCCCATCCCCCATCAACGCACAATGGCTCTATTTTTATCAGTAGAGGATAAGTCTGATACTGTCTTTGATTTACAGACTGAAATGTAATTAGAACCATTTTTTGCCACTGGAGGGAGACCACATTGCTCAAGAAAGCAATAGGAAGAGAAGTCCAGAACAAAGCCAAAAAAGAAAAAAAAATTGTGCTATATATTTATTCTAAAAAGCTTTGTAGGCTAGACAACATTGTCGTTATGCACAAAGTGTTTTAGCAGCCAAATTTGAAGTAATCTTTTGCTTTTTACAGAAAAAAAAAGTACTAGCGATACAAAATAAGCATTTTCAGGTCCTGGCAATTTTCAGCAGATCTGATTATACTTGTATTGAAATGGCTCGGTTTGGGAGAGGAACCAATCAACCTTGACTTTACTGATGATGGATGGGGGCAGGATTTTGTTTGCTGCACATCTAAATCTAAATGGGGGACAAATAAGTTGCAAGGGAGTAACTGAACAACAAAAATAGCAAATGGAATTCCATTTTGTAGTGCTTATAAATGTAGGTCAGCAACCGCAGTGCCTGTCTCCTAGCTGGCAGCCCAAAAGGAGCAGTGGAAAATTATCTTACTGATACTTTCTGAAAGGATTTTGATTTTGACGTAACTCAAAAGTCTGATGCAAACTGAACAGGGCACAACTATGTGACATCATTGCTGCTCTATGTTACAATCTAATTACCAGGCTTGAATGTGATTTTAGTGTCCACAGATTAAATAATATACATTGCTGTTGCCTGATGAAAGTGGTTTGTTTTGCTGTATTATAAGGAAACGTGCCAATTGAAATTTGCTTCCACTCTAAGGTTTTATAAAAGATCATGTTCAAGAACTTAAAATGGAATGGTTAATTTTAATTATTGCTATTGTTACATTTAAAAATGCCAAATATTGTGGTTGTGTTATAGTTGTGTGTGATTCATTACTTAGACTTGATAGAAAAGGAAACTACTAGGCTATCCCAGTCTTCTAAAAAAATCTCTTAAGTTCATAGTACTTATTCATATTGAATCAAATTTGGTTGAATGTTTCTAACTGAAATGAAGGACAAAAGCAACTTCTCTTAGCTTGTTCCAAATTAATGAACATCTGTTAAAACTGATTGAGTACATTTTCACTCACTGCTTTCTCCAATACTGGAAAGCCATTATTCTCTCTTCCCAGCTTTTGGGGCCATCGGTGTTGCCACCCAGCTGGGTTGTTATTTGTTGGGAGTGGGCTATAAAAACTGTAAATTAACAGTCAAGACTCTAGATGGGTTACAACAGAGTAAAAATATTAATCAATACAAAGCAGCATGTGACTCCCCAATGGATACCATTAGCACTCAACTTGGGTTAAAAAAGCTCGGTGGAAGAGGGCTGTTTGGGATGCTTTTTGAAATGGTTGCATAGACCTCTAGGGAAGAGAGTTTCAGAGTGTAGGGGCCGCATCAGAAATGTCTGCCACCTCGTCCTGC